TTTCAAGAAACGACTACATATTTTTTCCATTCAACAGTCTTCGATCTCTAAAACTGTGTGTTTTCAAAGTTGAAGTCATTTTTTTTTTGTACTCAACAACAGCGAAAAGGAGACAATGTATAATTAATACAAAAACAAAACAAATTCTTTTGTTTGTCACATCTTTTTCTAAACTACATTCTGTTACCAAATTGGACATGTCCGTACTGGGCACAGATTCAACACGTGTTTCGCCCATCTTTTCTTCTAAGGTCGAATTCCTTCAAGGGCAGGTAATCCCTCTTGTTCTCAGACGGAAGTAACCAAAGTTATCAGCAACTATGACAACAGTCACAACAAAATCAAAAGCAATATTTCTGAATGAAATTAGTTAAAAACTAAATCCAACTAATGACAAGAACATAATGAACTCATTAGGTTATTCAATATACACACAGACATATTGTTCCATAGATATAACTTGGTTTACATTCCCCAATGAGTTTTTAGAGTTTCAGTGACCCTTTTGCTGTGCTTCAAGAAGTATATATATATATATATATATATATATATATATATATATATATACATTGAGAAGTAAAAAACTTAACATAGCATCAAAGAATTCAGTAATAAATTTATTTCAATAGATAAGTTTTTAATATCTGTCTCATTAGACCAAAATTACAAAATGGTTTAAATATATCCAGACAATTTATTAAAGATTATTTTAAAATTAAATCACAAGAGAAAAAGAAGTAAATGTCAAATTACGTGAGCTAGAAAAGAATTTCCTAAATTTACATTATTGAAGTGAGGAGTGGGGAATGCAAAAAGGAGAAACAAGGAATATATATATATATATATATATATATATATATATATATATATATAGTATATTTCTATATAAGGGTATAAGGCTACCTATATATAAGATGAGACCCAAAATCTAGGTAAATTTTTGTGATTTTTATTTGATATCCATAGTATTATCGAAAAAAACGTGAGGCTAACAGTAGCAGTTATGCTTATCATAATGATTCCTATGCGTATAAAATAAAGCTGATGTTATTACAAATGTTGTTTTGCTTATCTTTATCATTATCGAATCAAAAGGAATAAAATAATATAAAGTATCACCATGAATCTTTATGAAAATAACAATTTTATTCTTACGACTCATTAAAGGTTTTATGACATCTTAAATGTTTTGTTGCTTAACGCTGCAAAAAAAATTACCGTATAATGCATATTATTGAAAAATAAAAGTTTGCATGTTAAATGTTTTTGTTACTTAACATCACAATGATAATGATTTTTAATTAGAAATATATAGTGTATGTTATTGTAAATTGTGTTATTTAACACTACTATGAGAAATAATGATTGGTGTGAATGCACCCATAGTTCTACAAATCAAGAGTGAAAGATTTGTTGATGTTACTTATTATTTTAGCGTGTTGGCCAGTGGAACTTTTGCAGATTGTTGTGTAATCATCTCTTGAATATTGCATTTAATAAATCATAAAAGTAGTTTTATTACATTTATAAAGAGTAGTACAACATTATAATATGAATTTTTTCAACTATATTTACATTGTTAAGTTACCAAATCATTGTTAGCTTACTGCAATCCATGGTGCAAACAAACTAGCCTACTCACTGTTGGTGATATACCACAGTATTTAAGGTTAGCTTTTTGTAAGTGTTGTATTAGATGACTTCCTGTTTTCTGGGGTAATTTCTAAGATTTAAAGGTTGCCTTATATGCAAAAATAATGTAACACTGCATAATAGATAAATAAATATATATATATATATATATATATATATATATATATATAAGTGAACATTGAAAGATCACTCAGCAGTGACAGGCTGTTTCATGCTAGACACAATTATCAGGTAGCCTGACAATTGCATCTCATGAAACAGCCTCTTCAATGTTCATTTTAATTTTTATATATGCTCTATCTCTGATATTGAACACTTTATCCCCTAAATATAGCACATCTTAAAACTATATTTCTTCATATATATGTATATATATATATATATATATATATATATACATATAAGATCAATACAATTAGGATTTGTCACAGCTGAAAACTTATATTTAGCACCTAGACTCAAGAGTCTCGTAAATTAGCTTTTTTTTAATTGTTCAGTCAATCCTTACATATACACACACACACACACACACTTACATTCATATATACATTATTATATACTTACAGACATAAATTATAGACACAAACGCTGCTTGACAAGTCAAATTCACATGAAGTTTGCTTAACCAATGAAAATCAAACACAAAAATAAAAATGCCAGAATTTTTTCATATATCATTTTCTGATGAAACTTTAATAAAAGCAAAACATGTTAGATTTATAAATGTTTCTTGTTTGTTCTTTATCTTATGTGTGTGTGTGTGTGTTTGTGTGTCTGTGGTTAGAACATTAGCATTCCAAGTATGTAACTTAAGTTCAAGTTTCACCATGAATGATTTTTTGAGGAGGTGACTTTTTAATATTGGCCTCTGGAGATGATCCCAGCATATAGCACTGTTGGGAAATACCAAAAAGTCCTACCATAGATTTACTCCCACCAAGCCTTGTGAGTGAAATTAAGTGAATAGAACTATTTGTTGACCTGGCAATTGTTGTGCTAGCAACAAAATCACAAGTCATTGTGACCAATAGTTTGAACACACTAGCCATGTCCAAAACTGTTGATCACACCAGATGATGGCTTTTCTTCCAGAAACTGTAACAAAGGTTCATTCAGTATAGTTACAGTATAAATCATAAGTTGGCTCAGTCAGTGTTGAACAAACACAATTTTATTTGAGCAGGCATCTGCAACAGGAATTAACTAGCAACCCTTGCAGACAGGCACATTCAGAAAAAATGAGCAACGAGCAGTTTTGATTTTTTTTATATTTATGAAGGTTTGGTTGAAAACAACAAAAGGTTCTTTGTTTAAAAGTTTTTATTTAATTTTTCAATAGTTTGAACTCATATTTGATTTCTGGAGAATAATTAAACATGAATAAACCATTATTTCATATTTTATCAACTATTAAAAAAGAGCTTTATTTTTCTGCAGATAGGGTTGCGTATGCATTTTGTTTTCTTTGATAGTCTTTGAGTGTCTTGTCTTCACACGTCAGCAGGTGTTATGTCAGTTTTTTTAAAGTATTGTATCTTGATGTGTCACTTTGTGGAGTCATGTCTTTTTCTGTATTTTTTTTAGACTATTTATCTTCAAACCACAAAAAAGGACCCAAACTAAGCAAAGTTTAAATATAAATATCTTAAAATAGAGCAATTTTTGTTGATCTTCAACCAAACCTGTATAGATATCCTTACACACACACACACACACACACACACGTAGATTTAATAAGCTGGTTAATGAAATTTGAGAAATAAAAAGACAATAAAATAATAACAATATTGACAATAAGATTGATGATATTTATTATGTATTAGCCTTTTGACTAAATTGAAACACAGAGAAAGATTTTAAAGTCTGAATATAGAAGATATATAATAAATATCATCAATCTTACTGGCAGTATTGTTTATCATTTTGTTGTCTTTTTATTCCTCAAATTTCATTAACCGACCTATTAAATCTACATATTATTAGAGGCACACATGAACCATCTTTTGTTTTAAATATATATATATATATATATATATATATATATATGAATAACATAAAAATGAAATTCAATTACTCCATTTTGATGGCCATTTCATTCCCCGAGATAATCTCCCTAGGGCTTGTCAATGCAAAAACGTTTGTTAAAGAAAGATTTTTTTTTTCTGAGATTATCCCGGGGGGGGGGGTCGAAATGGCCATCAAAATGGGGTACAATTGAGTTTCATTTTTATGTAATTCATTTATATGCTCTATAATAAATATATTGAGCTCTCTTTTGTGGATTAGTTTTAATATTTTATATTATTAGGATCTTCTTGGATTACTTACCCATGGACTTTTATATATATTTATAGAGAGAATGTGTGTGTATTTGGGCAGCAATTTCTCTTTTATACATGTTTTGTTAAAGACAACAGACAAGGTACTGCAATGAAGCCTTTTATTTAATTTTTCTTGGATTTGTACAAGTGTTTTTTTTTCTGGACACAAAGTGTGTAAAAACTGTCTAAAAGTTCTCTATATCTAAGCAATTTCAGCTAGTCTTTCAGCCATTATCAAGAATGTGTGAGTTGTTTTATATATGTTTTTGAAGTTACAGCAATGTTTTATTTTCCAAATACTGTCAGCACATTGTGGCCGTGTTCATAGTTAATATGAATAAAGACAAAAGGAGAACTTTTACCAATGAATTCTGTCCTCTGATGGATTTTTTCAAGGTAAATGATCATTTACCTTGATAAACACCATCTGAGGACAAAATGTATTGATAAAGAAAAGTTTTCCTTTTGTCTTTATTTATATTCACTTCTTATAGATATATTTTTATTTATATCTGAATATTTCATATATATGTGGGTGTTTTTATGTGTGTGTGTTTCTTTTAAGCAAGATTTATTCAAAAATATAGAAATTAAATTAATGAAACTTTAAAATTTACTTCTTAAAAATGCTTTCGATTTTCTTCATGTTACTTTACCCATAAGTTGAACGCTTAGACACAGCCTTGATTTGGGATATTTTTGCACTGCAGCAGCAAAGTTTAGAAAAGAAGCTGGTTAAATTCAATAGACATAGAACGTCAATACTTTTCAATAAAACTTTTTTAAAAGAACAATTGCTGCATAATTACACTATATATATAGTTGTATATTTTGGTAGCAGTCTCTCTTTAATACATGTTTTGTTAAACAAGACAGACAAGATACTTTTGTTAATTTTTTTTATTATATTTTTCTTCAATGTGATTCTTTTCTAGCCTTAATGAGTGTAAAAATTGTCTAAATCTTTACTGATTCTGAGCATTTTCTGCTGAGCTATTAGCCATTTTCAAGGATTTTAGCAGGGCCTATGGCCACATCATGTTTGAACACAGGTTCCTGTACAATCACTAGAGTTAAGTAATGTCAAGCCTGGTCAGTACCTAGATGGGTGACCGCTTGGGAAAACCAGATGCTGTAAGCTTGGATTTGCGGGTGGTGCAATGGATAATGGCTCAGAATTTTTAATCAGAGAGCCAGGTTCCAATTCCAGTTGGGTTCATTATATTCACTTAAGCACAAATATCCTTGGGAAAGGTGTGAATTCATCTCTTCTACTCCAACTTAAAATGTTAACCTTGAATAAATATTTAATCATCTAGGTTGTTTTTTTAATATAAGTTCTTTTGAGAGAAGTGTATTGTTATGAAGGCCAAACGGTGTGTACAAAAAATTATTATACTTGTATATCTTTTTCAGTTCAGTGGTTAAAACCCACCTAATTTGTGAAGGATCCATTTCCAATTTATGAAAAATTGTTTTTTCGTATTTTGTGGCCAATGAGAGCTGTGGTCTCATTCCTTTATGAAAACTTGGATGGATCCCTCTGTGAGCCTAAATTTCTGAATAAATAGGATCTCAGGTCAGTGGACGAGGAGAAGATTTTTCTGACAGCAAAGGGACAAGGCAAATCAACATGAAGGAGCAGAAGGTTTTTGACATCAAGTAGAGAGCATCAAGAAGGCACCAGTTACCAGCCAGCTGCAGAGAGACTAAAGAATTTTGAAATTCAAGTGAAAATTATCCTGTGGTTGGGCAGCCAATAATGAAAATGAATTTAAGTAAATTTTCCCAAGCATGAACAGTGTGATTTTAGAAGGGACCCTTGAAAAATTATGAGAGACACTTGTGGGGCAGGTAAAAAGTAGATGTAGGTGTTTTCATTTTTTTCTCAAAGGCAGTTGAATGTTTGTTTTACTACTGCCTTCTTGTATTGTTTTCTTTTTTCCCAAACTGTATTTTTTTCATTGGTAATCCTTTTTATCTGAAATTGTTATCCTGCCTTTATAATAGGTGCACAAAAGTGTACACACAGTCTTTAGTCATGTTCTCCTCTATCGGGGGGTTCTTACTCAGAAGAGATATCTGCAGCTGCAGAAAGAAATATAAAGGGGGAGACAGGCTGCCCTCTTAAGGTAAGGCTTCAAGAACACCAGAAAGAAGGATCCATTTTCAGTTTATGGAAAATTATTTTTTCATATCTACTGACCAATGAGAAATGTGGTTTCAAGCCCTTGTAGAAACCCGAATGCAGGCCTTGAGTGTCAATTTCTCGAAATAAATAAGATCTCAGGTCACTGGAGGAGAAAACTTTTTTGACAACAAGGGGACAAGGTAAATCAAAGAGCAAAAAGGCATTTGACATCAAGAAGAGAGCATCAAGAAGGCAAAAGGTTACCAGCCAGCTGCAGAGAGACTAAAGAATTTTGAAGTTCAAGTGAAAATTTTCTTGCTGATGGACAACAAAGAACAAAAAGAATTCTAAGAAATTTTCTCAAGAATGAGCAGTGTGAATTTAAAAGAGATTTTTCAAAAATCTATATGTCCCAAAGACACTCATGGGACAAGTAGGTGTTTTCATTTTTTCTCAAAGGCAGTTGAATGTTTGTTTTATTATTGCTTTCTTGAATTATTTTCTCTTTTTGTCTTTTTCAAAATCTTTGTATTTCTTTTTCCATATTTCAATGGTAATCCTTTTTATCAGAAATTGTTATCCTGCCTTAATAGATGAAAAAAAAGGAAATTTTTGTGCAAATATTGTATTTGTACCTTTTTTGTAATTGTGTAAGAAAAGTTTTTCTTTTAAAATTTTATGCAGTGTTTGAATTTTGTTTTGTAATATTTATCCTATCAAGACTTACTATTCTTACTAAGTTTTTGTGTTTGACACAAGAACTTAGATTTGGTAGGGAATACATTTTATAATGTTGCATATTGAGGTTGGTACAATTCCATACTCCCTTAAATGTATCTGCATGGATATATATATATATATATATATATATATGGATGGGGGCATATGGGTGCACACATACACTATGAAAAAAAATCTTGCATCAATGAAAAGTGCATATAAAAAGAAAAATTTGGAAGTATAAGCAGTCAATTGCTGATACCGACTGATGAGTGAATAGAGTAGTTCCCAGAGGGTCCATCTATGAAACTCTAGAGTCAGGATGCTGAAAGTAACATCATTCAGTGAAGTGACTTTTACTTGTATTAATTCTGTATGTTTATATATATATACAAGTTTCATTAAAGATGACTGACAAGGTACTGTGATTAAGCTTTTTATTCAATTTTCCTTATCTTCATTCAAATGTTTTCTTTTCTGTACATAAATGAACATGGTCACAACATGCTGACCATATTTGAAAAATAGAAAACCATTCCCATCTTTATAGATGCAAATATATAAAAAGAAATCTACACATTTAGTTAAAAATAAAAAAAAATATTAAAAAGTTTTTAATAATGGCTAATAGATTAGATGATATAGAACATTTAGATAGTTTTTACACACTTTATGTTCAGAAAATAAAACATCGATAAGAACACAAAAAAATTAAATAAAAGGTTTAATCATAGCACTTTGTCAGTTGTCTTTAATGAAACTTGTATAAAAAAAGGTTTTGCTGCCCAAATACACAATATATATATATATATATATATATTCATGTTAAAAAGATAAAAAAATAAAAAAATAAAAAAACAAATGAAAACTACAGACAAAAGTTCATTTTCTCCATCAAGACATTTATTTCTGTAGTTCACTGCTACCAGCAAGCAGAAATATTTCTCCTCCCGATGATGGCCATTTCGGTCGAAACTAGTCGAGGAATCTAAAATGGAATAATAATAAAAAAACCGAAAGAATATTAATCTACAACCCAGTGTGTCTAAAGATTTTCATTTTTTAATTTTTTATTTTCTTATTGTTCAAAATATATATATATATATATATATATATATATATATAATATATATAAGTTTCATATATGTTCAAATGTAATATCCTGTAATAAAAATTATTGCTCTACTATTGTATTGAATCCTATTTTTAAATTAATGTAGTGATGTTTGAATTTATATTTGATTCATTCTCATTTCATTTGTATAATATCTATCTATCTATCTATCTATCTATCTATCTATCTATCTATCTATCTATCTATATATATATATATATATATATATATATATATATATTTTTAAAGAATTAATAGATTTATTTTTAATCTGACAATTTTGTTACTTCAAATGTTATTTTTAGAAGATACCCTTGTTTAAAATAGATGCCCCATTTTTTTTTTAAACAGAGTGAATTATGTCAATTGATTTGTGCAGTGAAAAACTTAATAAAGAAAATGTGCTCTCTGGCAGGTTTGAGGACCTGCATTTCCCTTTGTAGAAGAAAGCTGGCAGTTTTCTCTTGTATGCAGGGCAACAGATGTAATACACACTGTTTAAAACAAAACAAAACAGGACTCTTATTTCAAACAAGGGTATCTACTAAAAATAACATTTTAATAAAAATGTCAGATTAAAAATAAATTTATTAATTGCTTTGTTTACATTTTGGATAAATAAATTGAGCTGATATACGCTTCCAAGAAAATCTGAACAAGGAAGTGTGCATTCCTTGAAAGATTAGATAGAATCTTGCTGGGCAGTCATTCTCTCTGTAGCTGAGCAGTCTAATGTATGCTAGATCAGCTAGTGGTTTCTCCTACAAAGGGGGATGCATGTTTGAACCCTGCTGGAGAGCACATTTTCTTTATTAAGTTCTCTGGATTATGTAGGCCAATAGGCATAATACACACTGTTTAAAAAATATATAATCTATCTATTTATCTAGTTATCAAATGGATAAATGTCGGTAAATGTACAAGCGGGCATTCATATACAAATACATATATATATATATATATATATATATATATATATATATATATATATATACTCTATAGTGTAAGTAAAAACAGTGCTCAATGTTAAATAACAGAGCTATTTAATATATTAAGAAATATACATAATATCTTACACTGATTGCACACTCAAGTTTCATCCAAGTTGTGCAATCAATGTAAGATATTATGATTATTACTTAATATATATATATATAAACAAACATACAGGATGCGATGGGTAAATTGTCGTCATTTTATATTTTTAATTTTGCACGTGTGTTTTGGGTTTTTTTTTGTCATCTGTACAGTATAGTAGGGTCAGTTGGGCTCTGTCTGGCAGAAAAAGAGCTCCATAATGCAAATCACTCCACCAGAAATTTGGAAACAGCATACTGTACTGCTTGGCATTTACACTGGAAGCTCCATTATGAGCATTTTAGAGTGTTTGGGTGTCAATCTGAGGACAGTGCAGAAGATTCAAAAAGAGTTGGATGAGTCTAATGGTGATTATGAAGGTACAGCAGCTCAGAAAACTCACTCTGACCGTTCTGATAAGAAATTAACTACAGAATTTGTTGGTGAAGGCCTCAGACTCAACACAGAGGTCTACATCATGTTCCTTGGGGAGATAGTGGTGCCCTGGGTTAAGGAGGTTGCTGCAGGAAGACTATATGTCTAACATCAGGACTCTGCTCAATCCCACACAAGCAGGAGAATCCCAGTCATAGCTTCCAGACAATTTCTGTGACTACATCACCCCTTACATCTAGCCACCTAACTCCTCAGACTGCAACCCCTTTGAATCTTACCATTAGGCACAGTTGAGCAATAGACCAACAAATCTTTTTGTGACACCAAAGGTGAACTGAAAGCAAGGATTATGGCAGCATTCACCAACTTAAACAGGAAGTCCGTTAAGAAGAGTTACAGGAGATTCCAAAGTCATTTTGGGGTTGTGGTTGAAGCCAATAGTGATTTTATTGAATAAATTTATTCTTTTGTATTTCGAGATATTTTTGTGTAATTTTGGTAAATATATCTGTTAAAATGAGATGTCAGTGTTATGCTCATTTTTTGCGTAATTTAGACAACAATTTATTCATAGAACCTCTTCTCTCTCTCTCTCTCTCTATATATATATATATATATATATATATATTGTAAAGAAGTAGTCATAAAAACAATAAATCAGTAAAGTTAATGTAATTAATGGCGAAATCACTTTGCTAACA